TTCTTATTTTTGACACCAGTGATTGAATTTGTGAATAGTATATCTAAGCCATGGATAGTAAGTAGTTTTTTATTTATCCCTTTGTATGTCGCCAACTGCAGTGATAAATATTCTTATATTCATTATCATGTCACTGTGGTTCGCATTCTTCTAATACTTGGATGCATTGAAACAAACCCAGGTCCTTCAAATAATATGAGACTTAGTTCATTGAAAATAGCACACAACAATGTGTGCAGCTTATTACCAAAACTTGATATTATAACTGCAGAACTATCACATTTTGATATTGTAACAATTAGTGAAACACATCTTGATAACAGCATAGAAAATGAGGTATTAGCAATAAATGGATTTCATCCACCTATTCGTCTAGACAGAAATAGGCATGGAGGAGGAGTTGCAATGTATATATCCAATGAACTTGCATTTTATGAGCGTAAAGATTTAAATACTATTAATTTAGAAATCTTATGGTCAGAGGTACATGTTATTAAGAAAAAAATTCTTGTTGGTGTATTGTATAGGCCACCCAATTCACTAGCAGACTATTGGGACAGTTTTTGCTCCAATATTGAAAAGGTACTGGAATGTAATTTACCAGTCATTCTATTAGGAGATTTTAATGTCAATGTTTTGATAGATCAAAGTTCACAGTTTAAACTTCTCTTACAAAGGTTTGGTCTCTCGAATTTGATTCATGAACCTACTAATTTCACTCGAAGTGTGGGTACATGCATAGATCTAATCATTACCAACAACACTGGTATAATTAATGAGAGTTTTGTCTATCCCCCATGTTGTAGTAGTCATTCTGTAACTGGAGTGGAAGTTAAGTTTCATATATTGAAACAGTATGCTTATAAAAGAGAGATAAGGGACTATAAAAGTGCTAATTATAAAGGTCTTAATGATGAATTAAATGCAACTGATTGGGACACTGAAGTCTTTAATTCTAATAACATCAATGAGATAAATACAAATTTTGTAAACAAAATAAATGCATGCATTAAAAAACATATCCCAACAAAAACCATAACAATCCGTCCCAGAGATAAGGCATTTATGAATAATTCTATTAGAAAACTAATGAGGAAAAGAAATCGTATACACAAGAAAGCAGTGAAAACTCAAAACCCTCAACACTGGGAACACTACCGCATTTTAAGAAACAAAGTAATTGATGAAATTAGAGCTTCACGAGATAGACTCAACCAAAAACTTTCAGACCAAATAGATAAATCTATACCCCCTGGAAAATGGTGGAGAATAGTTAAATCTTTATCCAAACAAAATAATAAAAGCAAACCACCACCACCTTTAAAGTCCTCAAATTATACATACTTTCATCCTATTGAAAAAGCTAACTTACTCAATGAATATTTTGCTGGAGTTTCAACCCTTTACAATGAACCTGAGGTACCATTACATGGACCGGGACCACCATTGAACTTTTCACTTGATGATTTTGTTATCACAGAGCAGGAAGTATTGGATCAGCTCCAAGTTATAAATGTTACTAAACCTCCAGGTCCTGACTGTATGTCACCTTTGATTCTTAAAAATATAACTAACTCGATAGTAAAACCCCTTACCAAACTATACAATTATTCACTTACTACTGGGCAACTTCCAGACATTTGGAAAAATTCACAAATTACTCCCATCTATAAGAATAAAGGAAGTGCACAAGATGTTAATAATTATCGGCCAATATCAATAACCTCAGTTGTATGTAAAATCTTAGAAAAAATCATATTCAAGCACTTGTATAATTATTGTCTTGAAAATAATTTAATTAATAAATATCAATCTGGATTTCAACCAGGTGATTTCACAACTAATCAGTTATTAGAAATATATCACACAATAATATCTAGTCTTGATAAAGGTAAAGATATTAGATTTGTCTTTTGTGACATTTCAAAAGCATTTGATAGAGTATGGCATAAAGGTATCCTTTATAAACTAAAATATTATGGTATATCAGAACAAATTGTTAATTGGATTGAGAATTACTTGTCTGATAGAACTCAAAAAGTAGTTCTTGATGGCTTTTCATCAACTACTAGAGCTACCAATTCAGGTGTCCCTCAAGGGTCAGTCCTTGGTCCCTTTTTATTCTTATTGTATATTAATGACATATCTGAAAAATTATCATGTCCTGTAAGGCTTTTTGCAGATGACACCTCTCTTTATGTCATAGTTGATGATGATATTATTAATTCTGCAAACATATTAACTAAGGATCTTGGACAAATAAGACAGTGGTCTAATATATGGGCAGTAGAATTCAATCCTTGTAAAACAGTCAATCTAGATTTTAGCAGGAAAAATATTTGCCATCCAAAAATTAAGTTTGGTGAAGATGGGCCCACTATTACAGGGATGTGATTGGCAGAGGAAGAAAAAGGAGGAAATGAAATCAGTCGGGGGTCTGGGGCAGCGCCCTGCTGGGGGGGCCCAGGGGGGCGAAGCCCCCCGGAAGCTCATGGGATTTCACATATTTTAGAGCTTAAAATTTAATATCTAAAGATATCTGAGAAGCATTTTTTGACCAAGAAAAATGAAACTAAATTAACATTTAAATCCTTGATTTAATTATTATCATGCAATTTCAATTGACAAATTATTGTTTTAATTTTCTTTTTTTCGACCAAAGCCTTGAGAATTTGTAATCTTGCTTGATTGGCCTGCTGCTTTACATGGGCTTGCAGATCTTTTTGTGCTTCTGCTTGAATATTGTTAGCTTAGCTTTTTTCTTCACTTGTGTTTTTCAATTGCAGCTTATTAATTCTTTCCATTTCATCATTGATTTCTCTGAAATTTCCATTACTGCATTTAACTTGTACACATGAGTCCAACCAGTCCCAACAAAATTTATTTTTAACACTTTTGTCAATAATAGACACATCCACTTCTGCCCATGCTCTCCATGTTTTCATCCAGTCTTATTCAATTATGCGCTTTAAACCTTCCAATAATTGACTTCTCGTAAAACGTTTTAAAGACCGACTTAGGTTATCTACACCTGACTTTGGTAAAACTAGATCCCATACCTTCACACACAGGAAAAACGATAAAACATTTATTTTTTGCTGTTGATATTTATTTAATACATCATCAACATTTTTTACTATACTGATAATTATCACTATCAATCAAAATGCCGATTTTGATAAATATAGTACCTATACACCCCCCCCCCCCCCCTTATTTTCTCATTGGATTTGCATTGATCTCAAAAATGATCATAATTGACTTTCAAATTCGCGGAAATCCGCTTTTCCGCGGAAAAATCACATCCCTGCTATTAAAAATGTTGAAACACATACTCATTTTGGAATAAGATTTCAACAAGATGGTAATTGGAGATCCCACATACTTGATATTCATGCTAAAGCATGTAATCGCTTAAAAATATCTTAAGAATGTTAAAACACACACTTAAGAGGGATGCTTTGATAAAAATATATTTTGCTTTTATTCGTCCTGTTCTTGAATATTCAGATATTGTATGGGATAATTGTACAGAAAGAGATGCAAAATTACTTGAAGATGTTCAAGTTGCAGCTGCACGAATAATAACCGGTTTAAGAATCAATTCATCAAGATCAAAGCTTTATGAAGAGCTTGGCTGGGATACTCTTGAAATAAGAAGAAAAATACATAAACTAGTGTTATTTTATAAAATAGTGTATGGATTAGCACCCCAGTATTTGCAAGATTTATTACAACAATGCATTCTTCCAGATAATTCTTATCCCTTAAGGAATCAGGACAATCTTACATTTCATATTCCACAAGCCAAAACAACTTCATTCATGAAAAGTTTCCTCCCTTCAACTATAAGACTTTGGAATAATTTACCATTTAATATCCGAAACCTTTCTTCACTTACATCATTCAAGACTGCCATAAAGAATATATACTGCATAAAACCTAAGAAATATTACAATTATGGAAGTCGTAAAATGAATATATTGCATTGTCAGTTGCGAAATAATGCTAGTAATTTAAATGCTGACTTATTTAATCATTTTTTAAAGGAAGATAAAAGTTGTGACATGTGCGGGTTTAATTCAGAAACATCATATCACTATTTTATGAATTGTCCAAAATACTGTATGCAAAGACAGAACCTAATACAAAACTTTAATACTTTGCAATTACCAATGCCTTTATGTTTACAACTTATTCTAAATGGAGACAATAATCTTACATACAACCAAAATATTGCAATATTTAAACTTGTTCAAGAATTTATTGCAACTACAAAGAGATTTGCATGATATTCTACCTGCTTTTGTTTTTCAATTGTCAAATCACAGAACCAAAACCTATTTATGTTTTCTTATTCATTTTTTTTTTAAATTTATACAATTATTAATATAATTGCCAGTCATATATGTTAAAATATAAATTTAAATTATATTATCAGCTCATATATTTCTTTTTTTATTGGTTCTCCTTAATATGCCTTTTCATATACATTTCTACTGAATATATGCATGTACATATGTATATATTTATATTTTTCAATGTTATATTAATAATATTTACTTGTACATGTATGATTTTGACCTTGTATTGTGGAAAGGACTTATATAGGCAGTGCCTGCTGTCCAATCCAATTATGTTTATCATAATAAAATATTGTTTAAATTAAAACCCAATTCCTTAATTTTTCCCAGGAATTTCAGCACTTTTCAACTTAGATTTTTGGCCATACCTGGAATATAGAGATGAACAGTTTGCCTTAAACCATGCACTGCACAGAAGTTCATCAAACATTGCAGATATTTAGGACAAATATGTAGATGTGCATATTACCGGGAAATTCCGAGTCCTTTATTTTTTCATGGATTTTCAGCACTTTGAGTTTTTGGAGAGCGTGGAGAATGTGAGTTTGCTCACTTTTTCTTTCATTTTAAATTGCCGACTCCAATTCCAAATTTTAATCAATACCATGAAAAATAAAACCGAGAATGTATTATTCAAATATTTTTTTTATTTGGATGAATTTCTCACCCACACAGTACATGTAATGTGCATTATGTACTTAATAATAACATCACTTCAAGAAAACCAAGCACATTTTGTGAAGATTTTCCCATTTCTTTCATATCAATAGAAGTTTTTAAAGTTTTTATGTACAATAACAAGGAGAGGTAAGCATCAGTGACAGCTAGCTGGATTCCTCTGGTTTTAGCAGACCCTCCTCATCAGGGGGTATACCTAGCTCCTCGTCCGTCCACTGGGAGGCGTCAGGAAGTGAGTGATGACCGCCCTAAAACAGACAGGAAATAGTGTACAGACTATACAGCTAGCATGGATTTAGTAAACTCATGCTTACAGTTACCAACAGTACTTTTAAGAAATTTTATATCACACAATGCACAAAAGTATAAATCAAAGTGGAATATATAACACTTTACTAAAGTGCAGCTGTAACAAATACATTTTCATTGCCCTTATGAATAACTTTACCCAAATTTAAGAGCAATCATGTTTAAATCACTAGGACTAAAGATATTTTCATGATTTTTACTTTATTCATCATTCAGTATTTGCTTCCACTCAAAGTTTTTGATATTATTCCAGACCACATAGATTTATTGAGGTTAGATTTAATACATTTTTTTTCAAGAGGGAAAAGATACCGGTATGGTTTTAACCAACATGTACCAGTCTTGACATGAGTAAACTTGAACCCACTTTACCCTTATTTTAGTAAGATTCTCCAAGACTGAAGATTTTGTCCCAACATCTCTTCCAAAGACATGTCAGAGCAAAATTTTTATCGTCAACAAATCTCGATCAACTTTACTCATAAAACATGCATTGTTCATTGTTGCTGAAGAGAAGAAGATAAAAATAATAGGATCTAGGCCTTCATTTTCCAGTAAATCAATACATACTGTCCAGTGATCAAAATGTGCGATCATAAAGTAAGAGATCCGAGTAAATCCGACCAGGAGTAATACGTTCCCTAAAATCCACATAACATCATTAGGGGCCGGTCGTCCAATGGATACCTTGTACGTCCTCTCTCTGAAAGAAAATGCATATCATGTGTAACAGAGTTTAAAAGTGGCTATGTGTTGTATATAGTGAGGACACGCTCCTACTAGCACTAGCTAATGGGTTAACCCTTTAGCTCAGTTGGTAGAGTGTTGGATGTTAAATCTGAGGGTTGTAGGTTTAAGCCACAGTGTGGACAACCCCTAGCTAATTGGTCATACATGAACAAAATGTACTAAACATCAAGACTCATTACCCTAGTTTTGAACTATAATCTTCTCCTAAGCTACACAGCTGCCCCTCACCAAAGGAAACTGTTTGTTCAGTAAATTTTTGCCATTACTGTACGGTCAAACCAAGGAATTCTTTTACTTCAGTGGTCACTGGTGAGAAGCCACTGCAGTAAAACTTCTGCTCCATGACCAATGAAAAGTTGAAATGAAAAGTTGAAAACAGCTTTTTGTTTCCCTTATCATCACTCAATGACACAATGTTCTCAATCACAGGTGCTTGCTCCAAGCGTGACATGTACTTTTAATTTTTATTTAATAATTATAAAACGACAGAGTTTCATCGTCGGAAACCCACGGTTGGTCTCGCAGGTAAGAGAAGCGATGCAAAAGTTTTTACTTCTACTATTTAATAGCAGACTACTGTATATGTTTTTTTAATACATATTACAATTCTCTGGTAAGCTTGGACTTTCAGCAAGGCATGGCATTCTCGGTGCAATGTAATTAGCATCTGTCAAATGGCGAAAAGAACTTTAAATTGTTGTTGACAACAATTAGCCAACTTACTTTATGCCATGCTAGAACTTTTAATTGGCTTTTTGCTACACTATTTGACATTCCGCTGAATTTCTATCATAATATGTATAATTCAACAGTGAAGGAATTTAGCTGGTAAATTTCAGAAGCTAATAAGTTACATCGAGAATTCCAAGCCTAACTGAAAGTCCAAGCTTAACTATCCTAACATTCTTACACGCCAGGAACAAGTCCTTGTGTTCTCAATGTAGGGTGTTTGCACTCAACTTCATGCTTGGCATGACTAACACCACAATTCACTGTCATGTTTTTTTTTTTTATCTCATTCTCCCTTTTATGCACTGTGAATTTATACATTATATGGGCATAAGTATTGACCATGGGCATTGGAAGTCAATGTTAATATAAAAAAGTATTTACATTAACTTCTTCTATATTCCAGTGCCTGAAGTTATCCCCCTCTCGATGACCTATTTTCTTCACCTACCCAAGAGGAAGTCCTCGGGGATGTGAGCCTCCTAGACGGGCAGACGACGTGTGGATATTCCTGCGTGGACTCTGCACACAAAGCCGGGCCAAACTGGACACCAGCCGCCGCGACATCTTGATGTTATTGTTGTGTCTCCTCCACAAGGACACTTTCCTTTACTAGTTCTCACGCCGACAGGGAACTAGTTTGGAAAAGTGAACAAAACAAGTATAACCGGATAAATTTGGAAAATGTTTTCTGGCGCTTCATTTTCCATAGCATATATAGCTCATTGAAAAAAAATCCTAATTTGGACCCAAAATGCCGGTAACATATATTTTTTAGCTCACCTGAGCCAAAGGCTCAAGTGAGCTTTTCTGTTCACAATTTGACCGTTGTCTGTCGTCGTTGTCGTTGTAGTCGTCGTCGTCGTTTTTGTTGTAAACTTTTCACATTTTCATCTTCTTCTCAAGAACCACTGGGCCAATTTCAACCAAACTTGTCATAAAGTATCCTTAGTTGAAGGGGATTTAGATTTGTTCAAATGAAGGGCCCTTTTCCAAGGAGAGATAATTATAAAATAGAAAAAAATTAATGTCATTTAATTAACAACTTCTCAACAACCACTGGACCAGGAAAGATGAAACTCATGTGGAATCATCCTCAGATAGTGTAGATTCAAGTTTCTTCAAATCATGACCCCAGAGGGTAGGGTGGGGCCAAAATGGCCGATCAAAGTGTTACATAGGAATATATTGGAAAAATCTTTAAAAATCTTTTTCTCAAGAACCACTGGGCCAGGAAAGATGAAACTCGTGTGGAATCATCCTCAGGTAGTGTAGATTCAAGTTTGTTCAAATCATGACCCCATAGGGTAGGGTGGGGCCAAAATGGTTGATAAAAGTTTTACATAAAAATATATAGGAAAAACTTTTAAAATCTTTTCAAGTACTTCAAATCTATGCTTAGTTATATTTATAGGGAATCATCCTCAGGAAGTGTAAGTTCTAGTTCGCTCAAATCATGACCCACTTGGGGGTTAAAATTCAACCCCCCCCCAGTCAACTTGATCTAATATGTGCTTTTTCCTAGCCAATTGCTCAGGTGAGCGATATGGCCCCTGGGCCTCTTGTTTCATTCTAAAATGAAAATGTCTATCCAGCTTTTCTTTACATATTTTTAAAGTCATTCTTATTCTGTATTTTCACAGGAGTCGGCAGTTTTACCAATAAACTAAGAATAAAGTCAAAATCAGTAAAACCTTAGCCACGAGCTTCGCTTACGAAGTGATTTTTTTTTTAGTTCGGCAAATGTTTAACCATATATAAATTTAAAGTACATTATATTTGCAAATAAATCTTTTTTCCGAAGAAAAAAAATGCAAATAAAATTCTGGTGTGGCATTCCTCCTTAACATTGCCCATACTTTTGATTTCTTTGAACTAGGGATGGTATCGCGAATTGAAAAAATTTCGTTTCGTATCGCGATATATCACGATTTTTTCCAAAGTATCATATTTTTACAAGCAATTTTTACAATGATTTTAAATAAATAGTCAATGTTTTTCTTAAAAATATGCTAGAAAAACAAAATTTCACTTTTTATGCACATAAAATTAATCATGTCTGGAAGGTAAGATGCCGTTCTTTTCACCTTTTACAACATTTTTTAGTTTTTCTGTAATTGTAATTTGAAAGATTGAACAAATAAATGAATTATTTCTGGACTCTATAATATGTACCTAAATACCGGGTTCAAGGTCTTGGTATCACGATACGTATCACGCAACAAGAAATCGCGATATACATGTACCAGTATACCGATAAAATCGCACATCCCTACTTTGAGCTATAGCTTTCATATTTCACATGTGCATTCCTTGTGATACTTTGGATACAAACATATTTGACCTCTTGAACTTGGAGTTTTACCCAAGTTTGCAAGATGATAGCATACAACTGTAACGCTTCTATGGCAAAGATTTTAAGCATTTCTAGACAAACTGATATTAAGATTTCAATGCATTTCCTGGGTATTTCTTGTAATTTTTGTATATACCAATGTTTATATATTCTGAAAGCAGATATTGTGTAGTTTCTGAAAATGATTATAAAAATATCATTTCAGTTGCCATGGCAACGAAATACACCATAATCATGATGGAATTTCCATTTATTCAAGAATGAGTCTCATTCTAATTCTTTTGCTTAGTTAATAGATTTAAAAAAATATTTTATTGTTATGTTGAAAATTATGAGCATGTACAATTTTTTTACAAACCAATTTTAAGTATTTTGGGGAATTGGGTGGGGTTGGGAGGTAATCACCAGAATAAATAAAAGCATTTTTACGTATGTTACTCCCGAATTGATTTCGATAATGGCAAAATTGCTCAAATAGTGCGCAAAGTTTAGATTAAGCTAGTAAAAAACTAGTACAACCAACGGTGCAAGATGGTAAGCGTGCTAAAGAAAAGGACACTTAGGATTTTTATTGGTAGGGTTCGAACCTTTTTTGATAAATTTAATAATGAGATCTTTTCTATTAATGCTAAATTCACAATATAAGCATGATTTTTTTTCCTTTGAATGAAACAGGCACTATAAGCAAAAGAGGGACAACTCTTTTTTTCTAGAATTTTCAATTTTATCCGATCTCAAATTTTCTTCTGTTTTTGTAAATCGATCGAAAAATACCATTATCAGAAAGATAACACAATAGATAACAATAACATTTAGAGACTTTATGTTTTCGAAATATTTATTTCCACTCTCATTGAATTTTAAGCTATTTAGATAACCGTTCATTAGTCCGATGAAAAATTCGAAACCTCGGTTTATTTACTAATTATCAAAATATGGCTTCCTTGGCAACAGCAGGTGCTTTGTAAACGGAGCTAAAGAAATCTTTTGGTTTGAGATGGAATTAAGCATACATTAAGGTAAGTTTGACATGCAGTTAACGTGCCAGAGAATTAGAACTGTCATTAATTTTGCTACACAATTATAAAATTGTTGTTTTATGAAATATTTTCAATTTTGATGTGATAATTGTAACTTAATCAAGAACACGGTGTACAGCTAGGTATACACACGTGTTATCGTTTAAATAGATGACAAAAATAAACAAGAAACTGTAATTAATGTCTAATATTATAATTTAACCTGTATATATATACCTTGATAAATAACCTTATAAAATGATGTTAAAATGCCACCATAAAAACCTCCCCCGACTGTTATTACAGGTGTAATTCTCATGTAAATTTTTATATTTATATAAACTGTAACCCCAAATTTCCACTTTTCAATGACAGTAATCAATTAATTAATATAGTTACCAAAAGTATGTAAGTAGAATACACTTAGGACTTTGGTTATGTATACATACATTAATTATTTTTTGCTGTAGGGAGAGAATAAGGTTTTGCAATCAACAAAGTCTCAGAAAAAAATGGCCAACCCACTGATTCCAAAAATCAAAGGCATCCCTACCATCTTTGGTGAGGTCCTTGAGAGAAATGTCACATTTTGTGTGGACACCTCTGGAAGTATGTACAAGAGCATGGATGTCGTAAAAGAACATCTGGTGGAAACTTTACTAAAACAGGCCAACAAGTCAACAAACTGCATGTTCAACATTATCGAGTTTAATTCAGACGTTACCCAGTGGGCGGACAAAATGGTGAAATGTACGCCAGAGACCGTGGCTGTTGCAGCCAACTGGGTGAAAAATCTTAGTGCTAAGACTGGAACCAATACCCAGGGGGCCTTGTTGACAGCTCTGTCTGACAATAACTGTGAAGCTGTTTACTTAGTGACCGATGGACTCCCTGATCAACATCCTCAAGACATTCTGGATCAGGTCGGATTATCCGGTCACAACCGACCTATTCACTGCATATACCTGTGTTCTGAGGATTCTCCAGATGAGATAGCAATAGAATTTCTGGAAGATCTAGCCGTGGAGTCATTTGGATCCTTTCACATCGTCACGCTCACTGTTCACGGATGTGTTGAACGCATCACACCCATCTACCGTGCTGACCATGCTCATGAGAGAATAATTAGAACAATGAATGGAACAATCCACAATTCCACCAAAAATTGTGGAGTATCCACCACCCTGTTGGTGGATCCTGAGGAAAGCCTTCGATTAACCCCTCGTGTGTCCATGCTCACCCATCCCCTCCCTGTCTTTGACCCACTGTGTTACCCATATGGGGACACATGGAAAAACTGGTTCTTCCACCCCTATAGGTATTATTTTCCACATGGGTGGAGCCGATACAGGCCTGCCAAGGGTTGGCTTAAGGCTCAAGACCAGATGTTAAATTCTGTGGAATCTTCGGCCGTTTCCCCAGCAGCGGGGGCATTGCTGATCGGAAAGAGAGTTCTGGCCAGGCGGATTGATGATGGGTATTTTTACATGGGGACAGTTCAGAGTCAGGTAATTTGATTTCATCCTATACTGCAGTTTGATTTCTTCAGTTCTTAGTTTACACATGTATTTATGGTTTTTCCTCATATTTAGTTACTACCTAAAAATTGTATTTGAATTTGATATTTATGGTTATTACCAGTACTTTGAATTTCCACATATTAATTAATCTTTTTATTAGGAAGGTCTATAACTAGAATTTCATAATTTTTTTCACTCCCAATTATATGATTAAAAGACACTTATTAAATTACCTGAGTTTAAATTAATTATGTTGTGCATCTTGCATATTCCATATTATTTTTTTAATTTTTAAATGATGTATACATGTATCACAGTGATCATAATCAAAAACTAGCCTTTATCCATTCAAAATTCAACTAGACTTCCAATTTTATCTCCACTGAATTAGGAAAAGTTTATTTGAACACTTTAAATTATAGTCCTAGAACTTCATTGTGTAATTTCCACCCAGACTTACTCAGGTACTGAGTGTTAAATGCACTCTGGAGTTAGAGCAGGGTTTATTAAAGATTTATGATAAAACCCCTCTACTCCATCGTAAAATCAATTATTCAGTTCCCCATAGACCCTGCTTTATCACAAATTATAGGTATCTTAATTTAAGTGTAGCCTATTTGACTAAAAATCTATTACCTGGTATAATGGTTACAACTTCAAAGATAGATGTTTATATCCTTGTAAATAATATCATAATTATAATTGTTCAACATAATTTATCAAGATGAAATTATGTCTT